GGGGAAGGGGGGAGGGAGGCGGGGGGGGGGGAGTTGGGGAGAGATAGCATGGGGAGAAATGCCAGATATAGGTGAAGGGGAAGAAGGCAGCAAATCACACTGCCACGTGTTTACCTATGCAATAATTTTGCATGTTCTTCACATGTACCCCAAAATCTAAAATGCAATAAAAAAAATTTTAAAAAGACAAACATAACAATAACATCTTTTGGAAAACAGCAGGTACCCAGCAGATGCAACATTCAAGTGAATGAATGTTATATCTCAGACTGTGACTGTGAAATCAGAGCAAGGGTTGTTCTGCCTCATGAGATCAGTTTCTGAGGTCTCCTTTCCACTTTCCCATGACTCTTTGAAGATTATCTCTTCAACACATTGCCTTTGGCCTGTAGGCGATGTACATGACCCAGTTCAAATCTCATCTAAGTATCCACTTCCTCAGTGTCAAACAGGTAGGACTACTGAAAAGTGAGAACAGGATTTGGGATTTCTGCGTTGCTGGTTAGCATGTGCGATCCCCAAATACGGGAAGCTGGCCTCACCCTTCCAAGAGGTCTCTGAGCAAGCTCTTCTTCCAAGGTCCTCAGCTCCCACAAAGATGCCAAGTATTTAATTGATAAGGAAGATGTGAGATCCTCTAGATTGGGGGAGGGGTGAGACCTCAGAAATCAATCCCCCGAAGCAAATTACATAACCAAAATATACATAAAAGGATGCACAATGTCCAGTATCTTTTAGGTTCTACCCACCTTATTTTTCCTATTGCGTCTGCGCTGTGGTCCTTAAGATGAATTCTCTCATCTATTTCTTACTTTAGGCAGACATAGGGCAGAACAGAGAGTGTTTCTGTGATGCATCCTCCTTTGGGTTTAAGATTGATCCCACAATCTGAGACTCTACTGTAAGGAAACAGAGGTGGTGCCAATATTAGGAGGCAAGGAGTGTCAGGGCAGAGGCCAGTATTTAAAGAAGTATTTCCTCAAAATATTAGAGTGGTTGTTTTGTTTTGTTTTGTTTTTCACAAAACACTCTGCAGTCATTAACCCCACAAAGGAACTCTGCTGACTTCAGTGAGCAGCAGCATGATTGCTCTTACTGAAAATGGTGAAGCAAGCCAGGCAAGCACCTGTAGTCCCAGCTACTTGGGAGGCTGAGGCAGGAGGATCGCTTGAGCTCCGGGAGTTTGAGTCCAGCTTGGGCAACATAGAAAGACCTTGTATCTTTAAAACAAACAAACAAAAAACGGTGAAACAGCTTCACTTGGGATACTGGGTATGTCTAATGAGGTCAGCTAGGAATCGGTCAGTTTGTTGAAGGCCATTTAGAGGAAGATCTAATTTACTGCATAACCTATTCACAGAGTGGGCTTGTTTGGTCATTTGTCTCCATAAGAGCATTTTAAGGACTATTTAGTTTGTCTCTGTCTCTGCTCCTTGCTGCTGTAGTTGGAGTCCAAAGGTCAGGAAAAAGGAAAGACTGGGTAGGCATAAGAAGAACATAAGCTTCAATGTGAAGAATTCTTATCAGTATATCCTTTTTGTTTTGTTTTGTTTTGTTTTCAAACAGTCTCACTCTGTCACCCAGGCTGGAGTGCAATGGTGTGATCTTGGCTCACTGCACCCTCCGCCTCCCAGGTTCAAACGATTCTCTTGCCACATCTTCCCGAGTAGCTGGGATTACAGACACCTGCCACCATGCCTGGTTAATTTTTATACTTTTTGTAGAGATGTGGTTTCACCATATTGGCTAGACTGGTCTTAAACTCCTGACCTCAAGTGATCCACCCACCTTGGCCTCTCAAAGTGCTGGGATTACTGGTGTGAGCCACCGCGACCGGCCAGTATATACTTCTTTCTTTTCACGTTAGTCTCTGGGTACAGCTTCAAGAAGTCAGAGCAGGCAAAAATGGAATATATGTTCTTCTAGAATACATTCTTTTAAATATATTTAATAAACATATTCCTCACTGTGAAGAAATCTTATGTTCCCTGGTGTTTCCTCTCTTTATCTCTAAGTCTCAGCTGAGCTACAGGAAGCTGGAGCAGAGACAAATTCAACATGCTTTAAAATGTAATGAAAAACAAAATGATCCCCAGTCAACTAAATTATCATAGAAATAACTAAATTTGATGAATTGGTCATTTTTGGCAAATTCATTCAGAATTGACCCTCTGGGTCAAAGATGGAGTGCTTTTCTTTAGAGTCAAAGATCTGAACCCTACAAAAGAAACATTTATTGGTTTCCACCTTGGATGTTAACGTGGCAGAATGATGGCAGATCCTCTGGTTGGGGTCAGAAAAATCATACATGGTGCTACCCCGGGGTCCAGTTCTGGGTTTGCATTTTTTTTTTTTTTTTTAGGTGGAGTCTTGCTCTTTGTTGCCCAGGCTGGAGTACAATGGCGTGACCTTGGCTCACTGCAACCTCCACCTCCCAGGTTCAAGTGATTCTCCTGCCTCAGCCTTCCGAGTAGCTGGGATTACAGGCACCCACCACCATGCCAGGCTAATTTTTGTATTTTTAGTAAAGAAGGGGTTTCACCATGTTGGCCAGGCTGGTCTCGAACTCCTGACCTCAGGGGATTCGCCTACCTTGGCCTCCCAAATTGCTGGGATTACAAGCATGAGTCACCACGCTTGGTGCTAAGTTTTCATCTTTATGGAGATCATGAATCAGCTTCAGAGACAGTAATAAACCCTATCATATACTATATCTGATTCTTGACAAATATTTGAGAAATGACTCGGAGACAAATTTCTATTGGGTGATAACCAGAGAATGGCTTCATGGATATGGGAACCCAGATATGGCAGTTTTGTACCTCAAGGATATGAGGATACTAAAACATGAGACTGATTCTTATATAATATAGCTTACTGGTCCAAAATGAATCACTAAAGTTTGCTCGGAAATTTAAAAGTTTAAAACAGAGTAGCCTTCCTTCTTGGTTTTATTCCAGAATCTTGAGCTTATTGAAGAACACAGCTTACATGTTGCTATGCAATAAGCATAGACCAAAGCCTAAGCCTGTAGACGGCCTGTACACCAAAAGAGGTGCATGCGTGTATAGCAGGAATAGCAAAGAAAGAAGTCAAGAAACCGAAATGTTTCTATAATAGGTAGAAATGCCAGATAAGGAGCAAAGATCATCAGTTATTTCCCATATGGCTGCAAAATTGACTCCTAAAGAAGGACCCAATGGAAAGAAAAACCACAGTGAAAAGAAGCAATGATCCCAGATTTTAGATGCAGATGAATACATGACAATTCTAACAAGTGTGCATATTCAGATTACCAAAACATTTAATGATGATAACAATGTCTGGTTTTACTCACCCCCTAGACCACAGCAGATTCTTCATGGAGGCACATCACATGGATTGCTGCATAATTCAAGAGCCAATATTAAGAAAACAAAGTATTACATGAAGTAATATGTGAGCTGATGAGGAGTTTGGTGCTTTAGTTGAGTGACAGAGTCAAGCCATAGATTTATGTTCTGGAATATCTAACATAAACTTGATTAAGGACCAAACATAAAGGAACTCAACTAAGCAGGACTGATTTCATTTATTCATGCAAGCAACATTAATTGAGCTCCAACTATATGCTCAACCCTGTAACAAGGCATGGTAGGAGATACCAAAGACTGTTTCAGTGAGTAACATACATTCCAATTAGGAAAATATGCCTCATCCACACACGTAAACATAAATGACAGGAGGCAATACACTTCAGCCAAGTGACAATGAAATTAGTTATGATTTATTAAATATTTTTATACTAGCCAGGCTGGTGCTAAATGCTTTATATTCATCCTCTTGATCTTAAGTCATATTGTGAGGTAGGTGCTATGATTATCCCCATTTTACAGATGACAACACTGAAGTTCAAACATGCAAAACAGTATGCCAAAGGTCATACCACTTGTAAATGGCAGAACTGATATTTGAACTCAAACTGAACTGACTCCAAGTCCTAAGCTCTTATTAAAGAAATGGCTATAGAAATTCAGAAAAGGGGGAAGGCTAATAGAGATGCTGAACTGGCCGTTAAGGAAAGATAGGCTTCAGTTAGTCAAGGAGAAGAGGAAGGACCAAAGGGTTCAAGCGTAGAGTAAATGCCTGGAGACTGGCAAAGAGCTTGCGGAAACAATAATTACATTAGTCTAGCTGTCCAGTGAATTCCTATGTGGGCCAGATTTTGGTGGACAATGAATACCAGGCCGAAGATTGTGAACTGTAAGTTATAAGCAGCCACGAAACATTACAATGAATGCCAAGTTTCAAGCTGTAGAACTGTGAGAGATGAACTGCGAAACTGGCGGCGGGAGCGGCGCCCAGGTGGCAAGGGGCGGGGTCACAGGCTCCAGAGGTGTCGCTGGGGCACTTGTCCGGGCCTCCCCCTTTTTCTTCCGGGCTGGGCCCGGCTACTCCGATTCCGCTAGGCGACGGAGACGGCGCCAGGGGCGGGGCTCCAATCCTGCCCGCAGAGGGGTGCCCAGGCGGCCGCGGTGAGCGGCCCTCTTTCTCCTGCCTCGGGTGGGATTGGGACCCGTCTCGGAGGCCTCCTCACTACCACGCAGGGAAGCCGACTCGTCCCCTGCCCAGAACCAGGTTCCCCTAAACTCCCGCGGGCAGCCTCCTTTTTCGTCCCCCACCCCTCAGGGTCGCGACTCTGAGGGTTCCGCTCTGCGGCGGAGGCGGGGCCGGACGTCGTCACAGGCGGGAGGCGGGGCGGCCTCCTTACCTGTGCCCCTCAGGGTTCCAAGGGTTCCACTCTGCGGCAGGGGCGGAGGTGGGGTGGAGGTGGGGTGGAGGCGGGGCGGGAGGGGCCGAGGCGCCCAGGTGGCCACGGCTGGGGCTGGCAGCCGGCTGGGGAGAGACGGGACTCAGGGAGGAAACGTGGTTCCCGCTGGTTGCTGATTTCTCAGCGGCTCTCGCGGACCGCCCCTTTTTCCTTCCCCCTCAGGCCGCGACTTGGAGGGTTCCGCTCCGCAGCGGGGGCGGGGCCAGGGGCGGGGCTGAGCGCGGCCTGGGCGGGCTGGACTCTTTTTCCCGCCCGGGGGACCTCCTCCCGACCGCCGGGACGTAAAAGGGGCTCGGCAGGGGCGTCCTCGCTCTACGCCTGGAATCCTATTTCCCGCTGCTTCCGCGGGGCGTCCCGGGTCCCGCCAGCGTCGGGAGCCCCGCCGGCCTGGCCTAGGCGGGACCTTCGTCACGCCAGCCCCCGTCCCCGCCCCCGCGCCTCTGGTTGGCTTGCTTTCCAACCGGACTTTGGGGCTAGCGTTTAGAAAAGTCTCGACCTCCTCCGGCCCAGTCCCATTCCGAGAACTGACTGAGGCTGTGAGTGTCCAGGAACCACAGCCGCTTGGAGGCCACAGCCTCGACGTCCCGCGCCCACGCGGCAGAGCGGGCTCTGCGGCCCAGGAGCCTCGGGGAGATGCGGAGCAGGAGCAATTCCGGGGTCCGCTTGGACGGGTACGCGCGGCTGGTGCAGCAAACCATCCTGTGTTACCAGGTAAGGAGGGACTGCCCACAGGGAACGCTTAGAACTGCCCTCTCGTGTCACTCAGTCTCCTCCCCAGGCCTCTGGCCCTCTTGTGACCTGAGACCTTGCAATTGAGTTTCCTATTTGAATCTAGTCCTTGCTAGCCAGTGATTCACCCTATTGCCACCTGTGCTCCTTAAAATTCAGGGGACCTAATTGTTGCTACGGCTACTTTTCACAGAATTCTTTGGCCATTGTTCAGGATGAGAATGAGCCTCCTCTGTGCCCTGGGTCCAAACTGCCTCTTTGCATTACTTTGCTTTTTTTGGACGAGAAAAGAGGTATGGGGGTGTTGGACAGACAACACTGGATGAAAACGGTAGACAGGAGTGAAGGAGTTCCTGAAGTTGACACAGGACTCTGCAGTGCGGGGCGACAGCTGCTGTCCCTCCCACGAGCTGCCTTGGTAGAGACCCACCTGGGAGGCCTTTAGGGACTACATTGGTTGCTATTTTACAGATAAGAAAATTGTAAGGCCAGAAAGGTCACTACATGTAGTAGGTCAGCCCTGAAGTCTCCCAAGCTCACAGGGCCCTAAGACACTGCCCATGTGGCCCGAGGTCTGAATGTGCCTGCTATGCTTTGTGTTCCTGGGCTAAAATTATATGTGGGTCCATCAATGTAAGACCACTGAACTATTTTTATTCCTAGTGAAGACAGCAGCTATGTTTCTTGCCCTCAATCAACAGCAACTATTTATAGGGCCTTCAATGTCAAAAGAAGGGAGTGGCATTCACGGTTTAGAGGCCTGGTCTGCAAGTTGGGAGCCATGGTCATTTCCAAGGCACTGACCATTTTCCCTTCTTAGCTAATTTCTTAGCCTTGCTTCCTCACTTAGGAAATATTTGTGGTGTATCTGTTATATGCAAGGCACTCGACAAAGTGCTGGGGTTACAAAGAATAAATAATCATAGTGCAGTAACATTTATGCATAGGGTATAGGTCCAAAGTCCCTTATCTGTTTTGGTTTGGTTTTGTTGTTTGAGACAGGGTCTCAACTCTATCGCCCAGGTTGCAATGCAGTGGCGTGATATCAGCTCACTGCAACCTCCCCCTCTTGGGTTCAAGGGATTCTCCTGCCTCAGCCTCCGGAGTAGCTGGGACTACAGGCATACGCCACCACACCTGGCTAATTTTTTGTACTTTTAGCAGAAAGGGGGTTTCACCATGTTGGCCAGGCTGGTCTCGAACTTCTGGCCTCAAGTCATCCTCTCACCTCAGCCTCCCAAAAGTGCTGGGATTACAGGCATGAGCCACTGCACCTGGCCTCAGAGTCCGTTAATCTGAAACCCTGTGGACCAGTTGTGGTTTGCCCGTCAGAAATGTTTGGCTTTTAGAAAGGTAATATACATACAATGTACTGTATATACCATAATAACTACAGCCAGATCTGGGCAACACTCCTTCATCAAACAGGTTGTTACTTCCACATCAGAACAGGAGTATTCACGCTGAGTGGGATAAGAAAAGGCTGAAAAGAGTTTCACGTTAGTTCGGCTCATCTTTGGCCACCAGAGAGCTTGCTGCAAACTTAGGAAAACACTTTTAAGTTTTCAGAGCTTACTGGCTTTTGAGATTGCGCATGAAGGATTATGGTCTTTATTTTGGGAGCTTTGAGGAAGGACCCCTCACCCAATTTGTGGGAGCAGGAGAGGAGTCCTATAAGAAATGAAGTTCAAGTTGAGAGCAGGAGAGGTAGGCAGGCAAATGAAGGTTATTTTTCCCCTTCCTCCTTGGAATATAATTACATCTATAAAGTGTTTTAAAATCCAAATGGAAGGCCGGGTGCGGTGGCTCACGCCTGTAATCCCAACACTTTGGGAGGCTGAGGCAGGCGGATCCAAGGGCAGGAGATCAAGACTAGCCTGGCCCACGTAATGAAACCCCATCTCTACTAAATATACAAAAATTAGCCGGGCATGGTGGCGTGCACCTGTAGTCCCAGCTACTTGGGAGGCTGAGGCAGGAGAATTGCTTGAACCTGGGAGGCGGAGATTGCAGTGAGCCGAGATCATGCCACTGCACTTCAGCTTGAGCGACAGAGTAAGACTTTGTCTCAAAAAAAAAGAAAAATCCAACCCCAGGCCTTGTGGTCCTCACAGGAGTACTCTGGCTTATTGTGCACCCTTTCCTGAAGGTCCTACTACAGCTCCTCATTCCTTGAGCATAATTATATCTCCTCATTGATGCCATGAGATCCTAAGTACAGAGACTTCATCAGTTTCTTTGCATCAAGCAGTGGCCCAAAGCATGAAAGGTACTCAGTGTTTTTTTTCTTTTTGGAGACAGAGTCTCGCTCTGTCACCCAGGCTGGAGTGCAGTGGCTCGATCTTGGCTTACTGCAACCTCCGCCTCCCAGGTTTAAGTGATTCTCTTGCATCAGCCTCCTGAGTAGCTGGGACTACAGGTGCACACTGCTACGCCTAGCTAACTTTTTATATTTTAGTAGAGACAGGGTTTCACTGTGTTGCCTAGGCTGGTCTCGAACTCCTGAGCTCAGGCAATCTACCCGTCTCAGCCTCCCAAAGTGCTAGGATTACAGGTGTGAGCCGCCGCACCTGGCCGAAAGCTACTCTGAAGTCCTTGATGGTAAAAGACTTCCTGCAGGATCTGAGCCATCCTAATGACCCAGTTACCTGTCCAAGTTTGCCTTCCTGCAGAAGCAAAAGAATTGTCTTCTCATTAAAGCAAATCTGTGGGATTGGACTTTCCTCCCCAGCATTTTAATGATTAAAAAAAAAGTTGTGTGAGCCTTTAGTTGTATTTATTTTGGGGGTAGTTGGGGAGTAGCCCTGGTGTTTGCCCTCTTTTTCCCTTCCTGTGTTGTCAAGCTCTTCTGGCCAACCAGAATAGTCCAAGCACAGTTCTGCAGGGAAATCCCATGCATCCACAAGTGCAGAATCGCACCCATCCACCCCCACAACTGGTGTTCACAGCGGGAGAACCCTGACCCATCCAAGGCCCCATCACCTTCTCTGAGTAATCTTAGGAAGGTCACCTAACTACTCTGGAAAAACGAATAAGCACTTTTATGTATATTTTACCACAATTAAAGAATGAGCTGCACGAAAGATTTCTAAAGTTTATGTTGACTCTCCCCACCTTCTGTAGATAATGTGCAGATGTTTTGAGGCGTTTTTTAAATGTCAGCTGGTAACAAGCTCTGAACTCTGTTTCTGATTTGCTTTTTAAATTGAGATTGATTTACATTGGTTTCATCTGCTAGAAATCATTTGTGTTAAATACGTCAAGCTAATCATCATTCTTCTGTTAGAGGCAATAGTTGGTTCCTATCAGCTAACATCTTAACTAATCCCTTTTCCTATATCTGTGAAAGAGAAGAACATTTCCCATTAGTCATTTGCCAAATAGACTTGCTGCTAAATATTATTTGAATCTTTAATGCAAAGAATGAAAGAGCTACGGTTACAAAAGGGTTCTTTTGCAGGTTTGATTTTGTAAATATATACTCTAGGAAGTATCTTTAAAAATTTGTTGCCTTTGCCAGGCTTGGTGGCTCACACTTGTAATCCAAGCACTTTGGAGGCCAAGGCAGGCAGATCACCTGAGGTCAGGAGTTCAAGACCAGCCTGACCAACATGGTGAAACCCCGTCTTTAAAAAAAAAAAAAAATTGTTGCCTTTAAAAGAAGAAATTTTTAGATTGTTTTGGCTCAGGTAAGAAATATGAACTTCATACATCTTTTCACTAACAGCTGTTTGAAGGCTCGTTAATGAAAGTATGAAGCATGAAGTAGTGATAAGAGAATATGGTTCAGAAGGAGAAGCAATGATCAAGGCAGTGTTCACTGTAACGAGATTATTTTGTATAATAAAGCAAATAACTAAGAGCCTGGGACAGTAAATATTGTTAGTTAATGGCCATGGAATTTAAAATGAGAAGAATGGAATAAATAAAACATGGAGTATGGAACAAATAGTAATAAAGAGGAATTGGGGAGAGAGTTAAAAAAGATATAATTAAGTACTAGAAAATAATAATATGGCAGAAGAATAGGAAGACACTGGAGTGAAAGCATTCCTTTTTTTTTTGAGATGGAGTCTGGCTGTGTTGCCCCAGCCTAGAGTGCAGTGGCATGATGTCAGCTCACTGCAGCCTCTAATTCCTGAGTTCCGGCGATTCTCCTGCCTCAGCCTCCAGCGTAGCTGGGATTATAGGGGTGTGCCACCACGCCTGGCTAATTTTTGTATTTTAAGTAGAGATGGGATTTCACCATGTCAGGCTGGTCTTGAACTTTTGACCTCAAGTGATCTGCCCACCTTGGCCTCCCAAAATGCTGGGATTACAGACATGAACCACCTCTCCTGGCCAGAAGTGAAAGCATCCTAAGGGTTTTATCCCATTAAGAAGGAGGATAAAGGTGTTATCATAGCTTTTTTAAGTTAAGAGTTTGTGTTTAAGTAGTACCATTAATATATGTGGAATATATAACTTTTAAAATGATAGAGGAATAAAGAAAAATCTGATCATCTGAGTGAAGGGAGGAAAAGAGTGCTGGAAAAGGTAGGAAGTAAAAAAAATGTGGTAATTATAAAGTACAAAATAAGATGCAAATAAATCCAACTACACAGTATTACTAATCACAACAAGAGTCTTTCTCATTAGTGTAGTGGTGAGGATCTCTGCCTGTCACAACAAGTATAAATGCGGAAATCCACTAGATAATAGAAATTATTATTATTATTTTGAGACAGAGTCTTGCTCTGTCACCCAGGCTGGACTGCAGTGGCATGATCTTGGCTTACTGCAACATCTGCCTCCCGAGTTCAGGCAATTCTCCTGCCTTAGCCTCCTGAGTAGCTGGGATTACAGGCACCATCATGCCCAGCTAATTTTTGTATTTTTAGTAGAGACGGGGTTTCGCCATGTTGGCCAGGCTGGTCTCGAACTCCTGACCTCAGGTGATCCACCTACCTTGGCCTCCCAAAGTGCTGGGATTTACAGGTATG